CCTGGAGGCCTGGGCCGGACACGGGGATGAGCGAGGGGCCGCCCGGAGGGGCCGCCGGACACTCACCGAAGCTGGAGTCGGCCCCGAGCTCCCTCCCGTACTTCAGCAGACAGTCGCCCAGCAGCCCCTCCGTCTGCGGGTACCCCGTGGCCGTCGCCTGCCCCCGGATCCTCGACACGGTGTTCAGCATCCCCAGCTTCGCTCTGTGTGCTTGGAACACCTCATCTGTGATTCCCCCCGGGGCGCGGGCACAGGGGTGCACCCGGCCCCGACAGCTGCCTGCCGCCCCACGCCCCAGCCTGCCAGGCCCGCCCCCGAGGGGCCAGTCTCTCCTGGGGACCCAGTGAGACGAGGACGGCCAGACAGGGCCTCGAACTACCAGTGTCCACGTCCCTGGGAATTTACTCAGGTGGGTCAGACACGACACAGCCAGGCGCCGGGGCCAGCCCCCCCCCCGGCCACACCAGCCTTGGCCGGCCCCGGGGCAGCTCAGCTCCTGGCCCTGCTCCCCGGGGCTGGCGCTGGGCACTGGCGAGCAGCCCCTACTGACTCCCGAGGTCGCAGCTTGGACCCCAGGACGGCGGGGGGCGGGGGACCCTCCCGTGCATGGTGGAGGTCGTGCTGAACAACGGACGGCTGAGCAAGAGGCCACGGACGGCCCTCGGACAGGGCTCGGAGGTGACGGCAGAGACGGACTGCGGGAGCCGGACGTGGCCTCCATCCTGGCCCACCACGTGCTGCAGTCGCTGGGACAGTTGCCGACTTTACCTGGATTTGGCTGAAGATATTCTGTGGTTTTGGAAAGAATTTCTGCAACAGCTTTATTGGTGACGTCGATTTTCTTTTAAAAAGAAAAACAAACAAAAAAAGACCAACTGAAACAGGGTGGAGAGGCCACGGGAGGCCGCGGGGATGGGCAGCCGCCCACCGCCAGGGCCCCGAGACCAGAGCAGCCGACGCCCAGGAGCCCCGACGGCCCCCAGCCGAACCCGAGATCAGGGTCTTGGGGCACAGTCACCGTGGGTCTCGGCGCGTGCGCCCCGCAAAGGGGCCCGGACTCCAAGGAGGCCGCCGCGGGCTTCGTGAGGCCCGCCGGTCACCGGCGACCCGGCGGCCAGGGCACGCTGGCCCTCAGAGGCGAGTCCGACACCCGTGTCCACAGCGCGGGGAGCTGAGGGGCGCCGCCGGGCACGGGGTCTCCTCGGGCTCTGCGCCCTCCTGGGCGACTGGGGAGCCCCTCCTCCCTCTTTGGAGGCTGGAATGGAACCCCCCTTTTCCTTCTTTTTTGGGGCTCCTTTTCTTCTCTTCGGGGCTCCTCCTCTCTGCTCTTCTGGGCCCCTCTCCCCTTTTTTCCTCCCCGGGCTCTCCCAGCCCCTGAGGGCCTCTTTCACCCACAGTCTGATTGGGCCACTTGGCGCCAATCAGCTCACAGCTCGCGCCCGATTGGCTCGTTCCGCCACCCCGGAAGTGCGCAGCTGTA